TGTTACACTAGTGGTAGATGTTTCAGCTGTAGTTGTGATTGTGGAGGGCTCTGTTGTTGTAGATGTTTCAGCTGCATTTTCTGTGATTCTGGAAGTCTCTGTTGTTGTAGATATTTCTGGAGCACTAGTGGTGGATGTTTCAGCAAGAGTAGTGATTGTCAATGCCTCTGTTGCTGTAGATGTTTCTGCTGCACTAGTGGTGGATGTTTCATCAGGAGTCGTGGTTTTCGAAGTCTCTGTTGTTGAAGATGTTTCTGCAGCACTAGTGGTGGATGTTTCATCAGGAGTCGTGGTTTTCGAAGTCTCTGTTGTTGAAGATGTTTCTGCAGCACTAGTGGTGGATGTTTCATCAGGAGTCGTGGTTTTCGAAGTCTCTGTTGTTGAAGATGTTTCTGCAGCACTAGTGGTGGATGTTTCATCAGGAGTCGTGGTTTTCGAAGTCTCTGTTGTTGAAGATGTTTCTGCAGCACTAGTGGTGGATGTTTCATCAGGAGTCGTGGTTTTCGAAGTCTCTGTTGTTGAAGATGTTTCTGCAGCACTAGTGGTGGATGTTTCATCAGGAGTCGTGGTTTTCGAAGTCTCTGTTGTTGTAGATGTTTCTGCTGCACTAGTGGTGGATGTTTCACCAGGAGTCATGATTGCGGAAGACTCTGTTGTTGTAGATGTTTCTGCTGCACTAGTGGTGGATGTTTCATAAGAAGTTGTTGTGATTGTGGAAATGTCTGTTGTTGTAGATGTTTCTGCTGCACTAGTGGTGGAAGTTTCAGCAGCAGTTGTTGTGATTGTGGAAGTCTCTTTTGTTGTAGATGTTTCTGCTGGACTAGTGGTGGATGTTTCAACAGGAGTCGTGATTGTGGAAGGCTCTGTTGTTGCTGTAGATGTTGCAGCAGGAGTTGTTGTTGCTGATGAATAATCTGTTGTTGGTTCATAAGAAAACTCTTATCAGTTTAGATGGCACTTGCAAAAGCAATGACAAAAAAAACAATTGTGTGTAGAATTCGTATGTAGGTTTTTACAGAATACTTGGTGAAAAACCATCATTACTGACCAAAGTTTATTTAAAATCATGTCTAATCTGACCATTTTACCAGCCTGTACTTTGTCTCACACATGTACAATACAAGATTTGATCAAACATTTGCCTTTAATGTTTTGTCAGACGTACCTGTATTATTAACTGAGAAAGAAGTTATGTTCAGGTCACTGATAGTGTCTGTGTCACTCAGTAATGCTTCTGCTATTTGGCCTTCTGATGGGATATCCTCTGTAGAGTTGAAAACGAGTTCCGATGTGGTAATGACCGACCCCTTGCTGAAATGCATTTTGTTTTAGAAATACTGTAATATTGGAATTATTTCTTTATATCCCCACCTGAGTAATAAATGGGTTAATCGCAAGTATGTGTTATCTCTCATAGTTTTAAACAAACACAAAGGCATGTTATTTAAAATAATCAACATTGAAGTTTATATTATTTACCTGAAATTTAGTACAATGACTCTAAGGAAGGACGTAAACTCCTTGAAAATGGTTTCAAGCTGTAACAAAATACAAAAAGTTACAATGAACTCTTATAAAACTACGACAAATTTAAAGTATTTCTGAATAAATGTAATTGCTGTTTATACATTAATGTATTATGTAGTGAATACAGTATGTTGGCCTGAACTCACATGAAATCGGACAACTCTAGCCCTATTTTTGAAAGATGTAGACTGTGAATCACTGAGGTCCTCTATAAATGCATCTTTAGAGCGGAACACCAGCTTTATTTTCACTTCATTTACAAGCTCCGTTGTTGTAGATGTTTCTGCTGCATTAGTGGTAGATATTTCTGCAGGAGTTGTTGTGATCGTGGAAGTCTCTGTTGTTGTAGATGTTTCTGCTGCACTACTGGCGGATGTTTCAGCAGCAGTTGTTGTGATCGTGGAGGTCTCTGTTGTTGTAGATGTTTCTGCAGCACTACTAATTGATGTTTCACCATGAGTCGTGATTGTGGAAGTGTCTGTTGTTGTAGATGTTTCTGCTGCACTA